GGCCCAGCATAGATGGGAGGAGGCACGCAATCCTAGCTGGGACTGGGGGGCCATGGTGCCGATGGGGATCCAGCTTTCCCTGCTTGGGGTCGCCTTTGGCTTGCTGGGTGTGGACGTGCTCTACCGCCTCTACTCGAGCTTGCTAACTGGCTGCTTCGCCTCCTTTGTGCCTGGTGGGGCTGCCGCTCCGGGCAGCAGCAGACTAATGGACCTGCGCAACCTGCTGACAGCAGCGGCATGCGTGCCCACAGAGAGGGCTCTGAGTGCCGCCTCTGGCACGCGTGCCATAGGTTCGCCACCACTGAACTACAATCTTCTTTCTAAAACAGTTGCCATGTCATAATCATTTCCTTAGTAAAGAACCTTGCATTTGTCTCCAACAGATCTTTCTTTCTTTCTTTCTTTCTTTCTTTCTTTCTTTCTTTCTTTCTTTCTTTCTTTCTCTTTCTTTCTCTTTCTTTCTTTCTTTCTTCTCTCTCTCTCTCTCTCTCTCTCTTTTCCTTCCTTTTCCTTTCTTTCCTTTTTCTCCCCATCTGAGTAAACAACTGTGGGCGGCTCACAATTCAAAAACATATATTACAATTAAAATCTTCAAAACATTTTAAAACAGTAAAAACCATTAAAACAATTCAAAACATTGAAATATCTTTATGCTATTCTGCTTTTCTCCTACCCTCTCAGGTTGGTTTTGAATGTGGAATCTGCTTTAGAATTTTACCCATCCAGTTGTGTATCATCTGCAAACTTACAGAATTCATCATTTCCCCCCCCCCCAAGTCATTTTTTTAAAAAAGGTAGAGGACCGAGGGCTGAATCTAGTACCGTGGTGGCGAACCTATGGCACACATGCCACAGGTGGCACACAGAGCCCTCTCTTGGGCACGCGCAGCGTCGCCCCAGTCCTAGGCCTTCAGCTGGGTTTTATAAAACCTTTTCGCTTTAGGCCTCTGCCACCGTGTGCCCCCCCCAAAAAAGATTCAATCAATCAATCAATTTTAACTTCTCACAGGAAAAAAAAGATCTCACAAAGTTGGAATTGATTGATTGAACTTTTTAGTCCCATCCAGTCTGCCGTTACCACCCGCAGCCACGCCCATCCAATGGGCCATGCCGACCCAAATGGCCACACCCACCTTATGGGCCACATTCACATGGCACCTGACAATACATAAGTGGGTTTTGGGTTGCAGTTTGGGCACTCGGCCTCTAAAAGGTTCACCGTCACTGATCTAGTAACATCCCACCTAATCTCTCTTTCCAATTTGATGAGAAAAAATTGCCATTCGCGTAGCTAAACTGGAATTGAAAAAAGTGCAGGAAACTGACTTGATCCCTGCCAGAAATGGAGGTGAAACATTCAGAGATCAAGAAGAGAAAGAAAAAAAGAAAGAAGGAAAGAAGGAAAAGAAAAGAAAGAAAGACAAATCAATAACTATTATTATAATTTCAAGGAGCTGTTCAAAAGCCAATGAGCTCCTTTCCCTCCCCTAGTAAAAACTATCCTCTTCTTCCCACACTGAGTAAACTTGCTGTTCTCTCTCGCATTTAGGGCAATCTTTTTTAAAAGTGGCCCTTCATTCCACATCCAAAGCACGTTCTCTCCTTATTCTGGTATCCACCCCAAAATCCTCCAAATCCCCTTCCTCTACTCCCATTAACATACTGGTTCCTTTCATCCCTCCTATATCTTGTCTCAAAGAGACTCTGCTTATCCCCAAACTCTCTTCTAGGAGGTTTTTCCTGCTTCATCACTTGTTGTACTGTTGCTACCATCATCTTACTTTTCTGCCTAACTTTCTCTGTATCTCTCTGAACATACACTTTCCTCCTTCTCTGTCTGTTGTTGGGGGCCAGGTTCCAATTCCTCCCACCAAACAAAGCAACACAAATTCACCATATCTTCTTTAGTCAAATTTTATCTATCAATTATCTTATTATAAGGCGATTTACCCCAATTACTTTGTAGGAGTCCTAAAGGACTCCCTGTATCTATGCTTAACCTAGGATTCTTCCTAATTTTCTTCACACATTTCCTTTTGGGAACACTCTGAGAATTGCCCATACTGGTTTACCATACTGTTATCTTATCCTTACCAACCAAATGAAACCAACTTTCACTTCATCAAGCTCCTGCTTCTCCCTTTTTCTACTCCAATCCTCTCATGAGGGTAGGGCAAAAACTGAAGGGTCAGCACCCACACCGTCTTGCTACCCCCTGTGGTACTTGGGACGTCTAATGCACTCCTCTCACAGATCTCAGATTCAAACAGTCCTACCCAGTCCTCCCCCAACTGCCTAGATGGTTTTCATCTGGCCACCCCAGATATTAGTCACCTAGGTTCGTGCGCGAAGTTACCCGATTTTTCCTGAGGCCAGCAATCTCTATTCCTGGTTCCCTCACCCTTCGTTTCTATTTGCAACTTCTATTTAGGTTCGTAGGGCTCTAGGGTTTGTTCAGCACCCATCACTCCTGCAGTTCGAAGCTAGACTGTCGAACTTGACAGGGCATGCCTTCCACATCATCCTCCAATGAAATCCCATTGAGTCCCGGGTTTCGGCACCAAAATTGTTAGACACAAAAATAGTCACAAACTGAAATCCACTCTGAGTTACAAATAGAAAAGAAGTTTATTAGACTTCACAACAAAGTCTAAAAAAATAACGGTTTGTAAAGCGTGGTGGATTCAGGAAGGCAATGCAATGTAGCCAAGCACTGAACCACACCCCAAATTCCAAAATCACATATTATTATACATCCTATCACGACGCCCCATTCCCTCCCCCATGGCCCCATTGGCTTAGGCTTTGGAGGTTACAATCTATCAGAAGCGCCTAAACAGAATACATTATACTAATAAGCTCCCTCCCCTACTATCCTATATCCATTCTAGAGGAGAGATGTCTCCCATCTTCTACACCTGTTAGATCCAGTAGGGGTACCAGGCACCAGAAGGTACTTAAAAACAATTCCTAGATGGTGACTCACACTGGGCCCCACGGTAACTCCTGTTCTCCCCCCTTCCTCCACCTGAGGCTTGTATGTTCCCTATATACTCAAAGCATCTACTCAGGCAATTGATTATACAATGATAATTATAAAATATAAAATATGATTACATGATAATACTAAAAGCATATATATTTTTATTTTTAAATTTCCCCCACATTTTGACATAAAGTCAGCATCCCTTCTGGGAAAATTTGCTTGTAGCCTTCGGTAGCCACATGATATACCCTAGTCCAGTGTTTCCCAAACTTGACAATTTTAAGCCATGTGGACTTCAACTCCCAGAATTCCACAGCCAGCGTTGCTGGCTGTGGAATTCTGGGAGTTGAAGTCCTCATGCCTTAAAATTGTCAAGTTTGGGAAACACTGCCCTAGTCAACACTATGTTTTTTTTATGAATACAACTCTCATTCCAGATGGTCCTCATTACAGGGAATCCTTGACTTACAACATTTTATTTAGTTTCTGTTCAAAGTTACACCAGCACTGAAAAAAGTGACATGATCATTTTTCACACTTACAACCCTTGCAGTAACCCCATAGTTACGTGATCAATATTTGGATGCTTGGCAAATGATTCACATTTATGATGGTTGCAAAATCCCAGTGTCATGTGATCCCCTTTTGCAACCTTTTGACAAGCAAAGTCAATGTGAGGAAGCCAGAGTCACTTAACTGGGTTACTAAATTAACAATTGCAGTGATTCCCTTAATGACTCTGGCAAGAAAGGTAGTGAAATGGTGCAAAATTTACTTAACAACTGTCTTATTGGCAACAGAAATTTTGGGCTCAATTGTGGTCGTAACTCGAGGTGTGCCTGTATTTATATACAGTATATACTCTGTGGGAAGAATCCAGAGAAAGAAATATTTGGGGGAATATTAAAAAGGCAAAATATATTTCCCCAAAGGAATGATGGAGAAGATCTTTAAAAAGGCAGAAACTTCTCTCCCCCCCCCCTCCCAGCCAGGGAACTCAGCAAAAGCCAGCTTTTAGAAACGCAAATGTAATAATTCTTTCAGAAAAGTTGCCGCCTTCCATCTAGAAACTGAAGAGATTAGGAAGACAAAGACCCCTAAAATCTACATACCCCACTCTAAGACAGGACATAATAGGATTAACCCACCAATACCAAAAGGGCACACTCAGACTGAGCTCAAAGTACATGACACAAGAAATACAAAGCCTCAAACAGGAACAGGAAACAACCTCAAGAGACCCCAGAAGGTATAAAAGCCCACCATTCTGCTCCATGTGGTCACTTTTTTCCAGAGTCATCTTTCTGTCTGGCTCTCCTCTTCAATAAATTACAACCTTCTTTCTAAAACAGTTGCCATGTCATAATCATTTCCTTAGTAAAGAACCTTGCATTTGTCTCCAACAGATCTTCCTTCCTTCCTTCCTTCCTTCCTTCCTTCCTTCCTTCCTTCCTTCCTTCCTTCCTTTTTCTTTCTTTCTCTTCCTTCCTTCCTTCCTTCCTTCTCTTCTCTTTTTCTTTTCCTTCCTTTTCTTTTCTTTCCTTTTTCTCCCCATCTGAGTAAACAACTCTGGGTGGCTCACAATTCAAAAACATATATTACAATTAAAATCTTCAAAACATTTTAAAACAGTAAAAACCATTAAAACAATTCAAAACATTAAAACATCTTTATGCTATTCTGCCTTTTCTCCTACCCTCTCAGGTTGGTTTTGAATATGGAATCTGCTTTAGAATTTTACCCATCCAGTTGTGTATCATCTGCAAACTTACAGAATTCATCATTCCCCCCCCCCAAGTCATTTTTTAAAAAATAATAAAGGTAGAGGACCGAGGGCTGAATCTAGTAACATCCCACCTAATCTCTCTTTCCAATTTGATGAGAAAAAATTGCCATTCGCGTAGCTAAACTGGAATTGAAAAAAGTGCAAGAAACTGACTTGATCCCTGCCAGAAATGGAGGTGAAATATTCAGAGATCAAGAAGAGAAGAGAGAAGAGAGAAAGAAAGAAAGAAAGAAAGAAAGAAAGAAAGAAAGAAAGAAAGAAAGAAAGAAAGAAAGAAAGAAAGAAAGAAAGGACTCCCCATTCAGAGGTCCAGAGGGTATTTATAAAACCAGAAACTGTTTTGATTTGCAATGCCCCATTTTAAGAGAGGCTGCAGAGTTTCTACAGGTGGCCTCTGGAAGTTCCCTGAAGCATCCAGGGGAGGATTTAGAGTTAAGGCTCTGGGTACAAAAGCCGCCTTTTACAACTTGGGCTGATTTCCGAACACGCCTGATTTCCAGGAATCAGTGCAAAGCAGAAACTGAAACTAAACAGGCTGCATAAAAAGCACTCGCATCCGCTCGAGCTTCACAAAAGCATCGAAACCCCTCGCAGAGCGAATATAGCCGGTTTTGGCTCCTCTCCAGTCTGAACTTCAAAGACAAACAAGTTCCGACGTGAGTCTCTCTCTCTCTATCTCTCTCTCTCTCTCTCTCGGGGGAGGGGGTATTTCTTATGGTGGTTCTCACGGCGTCTTTTACCAACAGGTGAGCCTCCAGAGGGTCGTGTCCTTAAGGGAGCATAAAACTTTCTCCCGCAGGGGGTGGAAAACACAGAGTATCGGGGGGGGGGAGGAGCCAGAGATAGGCTCATTTTCTGGTTATGGACAGTGAACTGAATGAAAGCCCAATGAGAGGATGGAGACAGATTCTGCAGTGGAGGTTGGGGGTGTCCTCATATGAAATGGGGGAAGAGCAGGGAAGCCAGGATTCAGCCGAAGTCTGAAAATTATGTGTCACTGTGCTCCACTAGGGGGATGACAATAGCTGAAAAGAATCGTGCAGAGCTCGGAGTAAGGAGGCTGAGGAAACAAGTGTATGTTCCGTTAGGATTTGGAAGCAGATTATGGCGAGGATGTAATTTAAGCTTGTTTCTCTTCTCCGTTCCTGAGTTCACGGAAGGAGGTGGCTGTAAAGTGGCTTTTTCCTTAAATCCCACCTGTTGGTGAAATCTAATTGTACTTTAACTCTTAATACATTCCGGGGTGTCAAAGGAATCTCTTGAATCTGGCTTGAATCAAAGTCCGAGGGAAATGAAAGATGAAGTCAGAATAAGCAAAACAAAATATGCATTCAGTTTTCAGTTATTTATTAAATGGATAAGTCAGGTTACATTGAAAGATGAGAATCTGGCTTGAATCAAAGTCAGAGGGAAATGAAAGACCGGAAGAAGCAAGACAGGTCCTTCATTATTTATCTCCCTTTATGCATTCAACTAAACTATCAATTTATTAAATGTATAAGTCCTCTTGGGGAGGGAGAAACTTACATTGAAAGAAGTGAACGTGTTTCCAGTTAATACATTGGAAAGCTTCAGTTTGACTACGAAGATACTTTGAGGTACCAGGTACTTCTTGAAATACGACAATAAATTTCCATCGCTAAGTAAGATAGTTATTAAGTGAGTTTGGCAGCATTTTATGATCTTTCTTGCCAGTTACGTGAATCACCGAAGTTGTTAAGTTAGTAACACGGTTGTTAAATGAATCTAGCTTTGCCATTGATTTTGCTTATCAGGAGGCCACAACAGACCTGACCCCATGACACTGCAACTGCCACGAATAGGATCCAGTTGCCAAGTTTCCGAATTTTGATCACGTGACCAGGGGGATGCTGCAATGGTTGTTCAATGTGAAAAAGGGTCATGGGTCACTTTTTTCAGTGCTGTTGTAAGTTTGAATGGTCACTAAATGAATGGTTGTAGGTGGTAAGTTGAGGACTATCTGTATTGTGGTTTTACTGTGGCACTAAATGGGATTGTGTAATTAGTTGAAGAATGAATGTATTTGAGACTTCAAAATTTGGTTAAACAGAATTTGTCAGCTTTCAATCTTTGAACAGATTTTGTATTGCCAGAAAGGCAAGATCAGATAACAGGACTCCATATAAACTTGGTTTGATTTCTTGTTCAAACATTGACTCTAATGATTTGTGTAACTATGATTTCGCTGATTTTGGCATACTAAGCAAGTAGAAAATATTATTGGAACATTGTTCTGCATTTTTTTCTTTTTAGTTTTTTTCTTTTAGCTTTATTGTTTAGGTTTTTTAATCATATAGCTGTTTTCAGTTATTTAGATTGAAGTATGAAAATGTATTCATTTTTATTGCTGGCACTGGTTAAACAACATTTAAAGACTTAATAAGCAACATTTAATTAATATTAATTAAATTAATATTTAAAAAATTCTGTCCAGATATGTTGGATGTTAATTCTGTAAATCCCCATTGAATGTGGCCGTTGGGTTGGCTTTGGAGGTTATAAGAGCTAAAATTCAACATTTCTGATAGAAGCAAGCTAAGTACATGTGAAACAAAGGTTCAGAAGTGAATTTCTAAATCTAATTTATGAAAATGCAGCAAGTCAAGCAAATTTTGCATTGTAGGAGATGACCAGACTGAGCCCGAGGGAGGGGTCAAGCACATCATCAGTCTCGAGTCCCTTTGCGCTCACAAGAGATCTAAGGCCAGCGCACCTTGAATTCCGTTGACCCTTATCGACCACCAATCTGCCTTTAACCGTTAGCACTTCAGATTCTTGTAGAGAGTGCTAACATGCAATAAACCTGTATTCATTTCAACCGCCTCAGCTCCTGGTTTCCTGTGCTTGGCATGCATATTTCTTAAAAGGAAATTAGCGCCAGTAAAAAAACGTTATGACTGTATTATCCTGGACGTGGCAAAGTCTTCTAGAACTCCTGAGTTCACTGGGTTCTTTTCCAATCGAGGTATTCCAGAGACTACAGTTTTGACGGTTCAACCTTTCTTCTTCTTCTTTTTGTTTTATCCAGGCCGAAATGGCTGTCCAGCCCAAAGTTGCGCTTGCTACGAGAGCCGTGATGAACATTAGCAAAGCAGAGGAAGTCCGAAAGGAGACAGAACTGATGATGAAGCCCCACGCAAATTGGGAGGAGTATCTGATGCCTGGGCCCATTTCTATCGCCCTCTTAGGGGAGCTGGCTTGCATTGCTGCAGGAGAAGGAGACTTTGCCATCAATCTTGCCCCACCCGAGGGAGGCTACAAATATATGAGGTATCCGGACTCTTTCCGGGCCTCCCTGATGCAGGTGAGCAACAGTGGGTGGCATGCCTTCAGCATAGCCCACAAGAATATGGATGGCATCCGGCTGCTTTCTATGAGCGTCCCTGAGCAAATCAAGATGGTCATGAAGACCTTATTCCAGGGTGACCTTACCTTGATAGATGCCTTGCTCCCTGGACAGCTATCCAGCCTGAAATCAATTGCAAATGAATGTTCCTCTTTGGCTAAGGCAGTTGACAATAAGTTCAATGATGTCATCTGTCTGACTGAGGAACTCCTGGAAGTGTGTATGAGTTCCAAATCACAGTATGAACAAGGATTGACGCAAACCAAACATGCCTTGGAAGACCTGAAGCTAAGAAAAGCAGCAGCTGAAGAAGCCCAGGCCAAAGCAGAGCAATACTACAAGGAAGTAAAGAACAGAGTGACTGATACGTTTGACGATTATAGAAAAATGATAGATAGCATTCCTACTGGCTGGAGTAGTGTAAATCTGGATTTCACTTCAACTGTAAGAGAAACCTTGACGGTGCCCATTACCTGCCTGACATCCTTGCTCAGCTTTAACGGAAATAAGTTGCTTTCTCCAATCGACAGCAGAAGTGAGGAAGAGTTTGAAAGTAGGGATGACTTTATAGCCATGAACAACATCTGTGCCCTGTCAGGTCAAATGGTGGTATTGGTGGACGGTCTTAAAACCGTGGTGGATGATGAAGGTAATATTGACATGGATGTCCTCTACAATAAAAAAAACAACGAAATCAAAACCATATGGATCAAAAAGAAATCCCAGCAACTGTTAGAGAAAATAAAAAAAGAAAGAAACTGCAGCCTGAAAAATGTGGCAGTGAAAATATGTAACGATATCATCACGATTTCCAATATGTTAACTGAAAGAGCAGTGTCAGGGAACATAAACCAGAAAAAACTGATAAAGAAAATGAACACCCTCTCGATTGATATTGAGGTTTTCGACAGCAGAAGCAAATTCTGCAGCCGCACATCCCCTTTTGGTCCCATGGCACCAAATATGTCCAAATCCCAGAGAAATGTCCAAGAAGACTCATCGTTGTCATCGGCGATGAAAAACAGCCTTTTGAAAACCGAGCAAACGAAAGAAATACTGAAGATGTGTCAAGAAGAATACCAGAAAAGCTTCGACAACTTAAAGGAGCAGAATAAGGATTTGCTGGACGTGCTCAGTGAAATGAAGAAATGCGAAATAAAGGAGATTGATTTTGAAAAAGCCCAAAACATGCTGATCAAGAGAAAGAGGTTAATCAAATCAGCCAGAATGAACAGAGTAATTAAACATTGAGTTTTGGGTTAGATAATAAGAATTTCTTTTATTTGGTTGTTAATCATACAGTTATTAACTGCTATTACACTATGTTGTTTTCCATATGGTTGCTGTCAGAATCCAATCATATTTCATCTTTAATTATCAAATATAGAAACTCCCAATTCTGCCTTCTTTGGATTCTGCCATAAGAGGGAGAGAAGGGGGAGAACAAAGGGGCTTTATGGCCCTCACTTCCTTCAGTACACTTCAAAGAGCTGAATGCTGAATGTGTGTTTATTGTAACATCAAAGCGTTAGCACTAGAGAACCTTATCATAACCAAAGCAGGATACTTGCCTTTCATGTAGTTATCTGAAGTCTCCATCCAGACGGAAGAAAGAAGAAAGGGGGTGGAATTGTGATACTTGAAACTATCACTGGAAGGGGGGTTGATTGGGTGGGACTACTGGGGAACCCCTTAAAACCTTGAATGGGAGAGCTTGAACCCCAAGTCCTGTCTAGCATGCCTGCAACCATTTTCTCTTAATAAAGGATTCCTGTTGGAAGAATTATTCCAAGAGTTCTGTCTTCTTAAGATGCAAAGTGTGGTGGGTCCTTACATTAGACAGGACTTGCAAAATTAATCCACCTGGAAGGGAGACCCTTGCCGGGGGATTTTGCAAAAATTTACCATGTCAGACACTGGAGCAAGAGAGGGGAAAAACTCCCTGGAAAGAGAGCCACTGACCCAGCTGGAACCTTGCCATATGTTGGGATCCGAGAGGCCAGATTCCTCAGGAGAAGAAGTGGTGGAGACACAGGACCACAAGCCTCGCTGGTCGATGGGCGTTGGAAAGAAAAGTGAGTGGGGAAAGGAATCAAGAAAGGTGACCCTGAGACGGGGACCAAGCAACCAGAATGGAAGCAGGAGATGGAGAAATCCCTGCACGCAAGTGAAGAGGGAGGAAGCTGGGCACCGTACTCAGACTGGATCCTAGAGAAAGCTATTGACCTGATGAAGAGAACTCTCAGCTCCCTAGGAGAGGAGAATACTGAACCCTACGGCTGCCCCAGTTCCTGGAGCCGCAAAGGGAGAGACACCGAGGGGGACGTGGAACCTGCAACCCCAGGGACATCTACTGATCCAGGAGCTCCCACCCCCTACCGGACCACAGATGGCAATCTGGACGGAAGGCACTACCACCCACAACAGAGGCACCGATCCATTCCAAGACGTCCACCGTTGGAAGTGAAATTCAAAGGGGAGCCAACACGCTTGGGGTTTTTCCTAACCCAAGTCCTCAGCTACATGGAGGAATATGGGCAGGATATTCCCAGCGACAAAGCCCGCATCCGGATCGTGCAATCTGCCCTGGATGGACCAGCTGCGGATTGGGTAGTGAACTTGCATGACTCCAATGCCCCAGAACTCAGTAACTTCAACCGTTTCATGTCCTCTTTGAGAAGACGATTTGAAGACCCCCTGGCTGATCGCAAAGCCCGTGAAAGAATAACAACGATGAGGCAGGGCAAACGCCCAGTGGCTGAGTATACACAAGAATTCCGGGCCATTGCCAGCAAACTGAATTGGCCAGAAGACATCCTCCTTGGCCATTTCAAAGACGGACTAAACTATGATCTATATGATGCTTGCCTGCCCCGAGGGGACCCACATCGACTTGAGGAATGGTACGTCTTGGCAGAGGAAGCAGAGATCGACATATTGAAGAGGCACCGCCGAGGAAAACAATGGAGCCGCCCCCGCCTGAGCTGACACACCAACCGGTGAAATCATCGGATACAGCCAAGAAGCAAATGGGGTGTTTCAAGTGCGAAAGAGAAGGGCATCGAGCTGTAGAATGCCGCTCAAAGGCCCCCCAGCACAACCCAGACAGATCCCCAATCAACAAACCCGGAAAGTTTTCAGCTAAGCCAAAAGAAACGGCCATGAGAATGATGGAAATTGCAGAAACCCCCACCTCTGCTCACCAAGGGGAAAGGACTCCAGCCTACACCACAGGGCCGGTGGATGCCTCAGAGGACAGCTCGGAGCAAGACTTGCCGATGCCGAAACCACGACGCGAACGCGACGCGCGACGCGTCGGAGCCCGCGACGCCGAGCGAATCTTGCGCGCAGCGAAGCACCAGAAAAAGCTGCCTACGCGGCGAACCCCGTGGTAAGTGGATGCATCACACCCATACTTCAAAACAGTGATTATATTAACCCCCCCCCATGCCCGAAGCTGTGAAGGTGAAAGGCCTTAATAGACTCTGGCTGTACCCGCTGCCTCATTAGCCCAACACTAGTGGGGGAATCTGGCGCATCCCCCCATCCAGGATGACTGGCACAACCAATCTCATTTGGCAGCTAGATGGATCCATAGCAGGGGGGGTGCAGCGAACCTAGCCACTCTGCCAATACACCTCTCCCTGGGCAACCATGAAGAGGACTTATCGTTTGTGGTGACCCCAGGTATGGAATGCCCAATGATTCTAGGGATGGAATGGTTGAAAAAATGGAACCCCTGGGTAAATTGGAGGACGACAGAAATCAAATTCCCGAAGGGGACCCTATGGACTTAAAACCCCAAGAGAGGCTACCAGAATCAAGAATAGAAAAAGCATCCATAGGAGAGGGAAAAAGATTAACAGAAATACCAGAGGAATATAGGGACCTTGCTGAAGTCTTCAGTGAGGAGAGGGCGAATGAGCTTCCCCCCCACCGACCCACAGACTGTACCATGGAATTCAAGCCTGGGGCAAAACTCCCGAAGCCCAGATTATACTCCATGAGCCCAAAGGAGAAGGAGGAAATGGAAAGATTTATAAAAAAAAACCTGGAGAGAGGTTTCATTGAACCAGCTAAGCCTAAAGTGGCTGCCCCGGTCCTTTTTAGAGCGAAGAAGGATGGCTCTTTACGTTTATGCGTGGATTATAGGGCCCTGAACACAATCAGTGAAAGCAACCTATACCCGCTGCCCCTCATGAAAGACATGCTGTCACACCTATCGAAAGGGAAAATATTTTCTAAACTAGACTTAAGGGAAGCTTACTATCGAGTGAGAATCAAGGAAGGGGACGAATGGAAGACTGCATTTAACTGCCCCATGGGTGCTATCAATTCAAAGTCTTGCCATTTGGATTACAAGGGGGCCCTGCAGTCTTTATGCAATTAATCAATGACTTTCTAAGGGAGCACCTGTTTAAGGGGGTCCTTGTTTACTTGGACGACATTCTTATCTTTACTGAAACAAAAGAAGAACACGTCAAACTTGTCAGAGCGTTTTTAAAGAAGCTGCGAGCCGCTCACCTATATGCCAAACTCTCAAAATGCGAATTCCACCAGGAAAGGATAGACTACCTAGGCTAGCGCATATCCCCACAGGGCAGTGAAATGGACCCAGAGAAGGTCAGAGCAGTATTAGAATGGGCACCACCCCGCACAAGAAAGCACCTACAAAGTTTCCTGGGCTTTGCAAATTTTTACCGCCAATTCATCCCCTCATTTGCACAGATAGCCTTGCCCCTCACTCACTTACTAAAAACGAAGGGGCAATTCCTCAGTAAACCTAGCCAGCCACTAACATGGACCTGGAGTGCCAAGCAGCGCGTTTGAGAGACTAAAGAGACCTGTTTTATGCCGAACCAATACTAAGGCACCCAGACATGGACAAGCCTTCGTAATAACAGGCAGAGCATAGTGAGGTGGCAGTGGGAGGGCTTGTGCTATTACAAGAAAATGATGATGAGTATTGAACTGTGCATATACATCCAAGAAACCACGGAAACAGAACGCGCTGCCCGTATGGGAGAAGGAGGCTTATGGATCAACGTGGCATTACCTCAGTGGAGGACAGTTCCTGATAAAGGCAACAAAATCCCCTTCCAGGTGTGGAATGATCACAAAAATTTGGAAGCCCTGAAAACTTCCAGGAAACTCAATCCCAAACAAGCCCGCTGGTCCCAGCATTTTCACCAATTCCAATTTAAGCTCAAACATTTACCAGGAAGAAAGAACTTCCTGGCAGATGCACTATCTAGCATGCCCCAATATAACAGCGCACGAACCACAGACTCTAGACCAATAATGGCAGAGTCACAACTGGCAGCACCAGTAACCACAAGAACCCAAGCAAAATTAAAACCACAACTGGACAGCCAAACTGGAATTGAATTCAGAAAAAGTTTGGAAACAGATGATTGGTTCCAGAAAAACAAAAATGTGTGCACAATGAAAGACGGGTTGCCTTGGATAGGGGAAAAGTTATATATACCAACAACTCAAAGAGCAACTTTCATGCACCTTTGCCATGACACAAAATCAGCAGGGCCTTTTGGATTTGTAAAAACTTTACATTTAATTAAACGGCAATTTTGGTGGCCATCCATGAAAAAGGACATTGAAAGTTATATAGCCAGTTGTCCAAAATGTGCCACGGCAAAGAGGTTGCAAGGGAAAGTGCCAGGACTATTGCAAACAGTGGCAAGTCCCTCAGCCCCCTGGAGAGAAATAGCCCTGGATTTTATAGTGGAATTGCCAGAAAGCAATGGGAATACTGTGGTCTGGACGGTCACGGACTTGTTTTCCAAACAGGTGCACTTTATCCCTTGCCAAAAGATTCCTACTGCAAAAGCCTTAGCAAAACTTTTCATCCAGCACATTTACAGATTGCATGGGGCACCCCAACGCATCATCTCTGACAGGGGGGTGCAATTTACGTTTGCATTTTGGAAGGAATTTTTATCCCTCTTAGGAACCACTCAGGGACTGACATCTAGCCACCACCCACAAGGAAATGGGGGGGGCTGAAAAAATGAACTCCGTACTTAAGCAATATTTAAGATGTTTTCTTAGTTTCCAGCAGACCGAGTGGGCGGACTTACTCCCTTTTGCAGAAGTTGCCTACAATAATGCAGTCCACTCCAGCACAGGTTACACTCCTTTTCAAATAGCCACGGGTCAAAGTTTCAACCCCATGCCAGAATTAACCCCAAACGAACCAACGATCCCCTCGCTGAAAGAATGGATGGAGAAATTACAAAACACCTGGCCAATAGTCAGAAAAGCACTAGATGAAGCTAGGCAGGCATATAAACACAAGCCGATAAAAAAAGGGTTGAGCCTACACCATTCATTATAGGAGAAATGGTGTACTTATCTACAAAATACCTAAAGTCCCTACAGCCCTGTAAAAAAACTTGGACCAAAATATATAGGACCTTTTCCAATTAAAAGAATCATAAATCCAGTAACAGTAGAATTAGAATTACCCAAAAATCTCAGGCAAATACACCCAATTTTTCATTGCAGCTTGCTGAAAAGAGAGCATCAGTCAACCTTACGGCCAAAAATCCCCCCCCACCACCTCCAATCATGGTGGAGGGTGAACAACACTTCGAAATAAAGGAAGTCCTTGACTCTAGGAGATATCATGGAGCAACTCAGTACCTAGTTGCCTGGAAAAACCTCCCTCCCTCACAAAATGAGTGGGTCCATAAACGTCATGTCAGAGCCCCGAAGCTATTGAAGAAGTTTCACACAGAGTAACCTAACAAGCCTAACTAAATTTTATACTTGTGTTTTCTTTCAGGTGGATCTCTCTTATTTTTAAGAGGGGCCGGATGTCAGAATCCAATCATATTTCATCTTTAATTATCAAATAGAGAAACTCCCAATTCTGCCTTCTTTGGATTCTGCCATAAGAGGGAGAGAAGGGGGAGAACAAAGGGGCTTTATGGCCCTCACTTCCTTCAGTACACTTCAAAGAGCTGAATGCTGAATGTGTGTTTATTGTAACATCAAAGCGTTAGCACTAGAGACCCTTATCATAACAAAGCAGGATACTTGCCTTTCATGTAGTTACCTGAAGTCTCCATTCAGACGGAAGAAAGAAGAAAGGGGGTGGAATTGTGATACTTGAAACTATCACTGGAAGGGGGGTTGATTGGGTGGGACTACTGGGGAACCCCTTAAAACCTTGAATGGAAGAGCTTGAACCCCAAGTCCTGTCTAGCATGCCTGCGACCATTTTCTCTTAATAAAGGATTCCTGTTGGAAGAATTATTCCAAGAGTTCTGTCTTCTTAAGATGCAAAGTGGGGTGGGTCCTTACAGTTGCAATCTTAAGACTGAAATAGGATTTTTTTTAACTCTTTTTGCCGTTCAGTTGTTACTTTTACATGTTAATATTTCTTTTACTGATTCATTACAGCTTTTCTGCCACATATAAGAACTATGTTAGTCATTCTGAAGTTACTAAACATTATAGTAAACAACTCTCCTGCATTAAATTCTTTCTTTTATGCTAGAAAGAGTCAATAAATGTCTATTCTCTAAAATTGGCCTGGGTTTAATATCTTGTTGACTTAACATACCACAACACAGCAGAGCTTCTAAGTGTCCATGGAGATTCTCCGTCATCCCGGTCATGGTGGTCCCAAAGGCGCTTTTTCAAAAGGCAACTGGACTTTCTTGTTTTTCTTTGAGGACGTTTCGTTTCCCATCCAAGAAGCTTTTTCGGCTCTGAACCTCAAGAAGCTTCTTGGGTGACAAGCGAAATGTCTTCAAATAAAAGCAAGAAAATCCAGTTGCCTCTTGAAAAAGCATCTTTGGGTCAGCAGAGTTTCCCGCTGGAACAACGGTGTGAATATCAGGGGCAGCATACATTTCCATCATCATGTTTACCAGATCTTGAAAACAAAAATATATGCGGGAAGGATATAATGATACAGATTTCTTTCCTTGATAGGGTGGAATCTATAGGGTGTTTGGTAGTGCCTATTTTCAGTGGTTAAAATTACAAAAAATAATAATTAGCATGCAGAGTTCTCTAGTTCCAGGTAAGGCTCTCTTTATCTGGCCCTTGGTAGAAAGAAGGCAGTGGCAATTGTTATAAAACCAAAGTAACAAAGCTGTTGTTTCTAAATAAAGGTAATCCAATAGCAATCCGTTTTCCAGCCTCAAATATGCAAGGGGACTATAATCTCAATCTTGCATGGCTTGCACTCTGTACGAGGACAAAGCAAGGAAATCGTGGTGCAAGATTAGAGAACTGAAGTTGGTGAACAAACCTCGGGGAGTTATAAAGTATGGTTTGTAAAAGTAATGCGTAAGTTCTGGAAGCTCCCTAATTTCTGTGAAACATTGCATTCTCCTTCTGTCAATCATCATCTTCCCCCCTCCCCCAACACATGCACACTGTTAAAAGTCAAAAGGGTGGGGTGGTTGCTTGAGTTACAGAAAAACATGGAGTCATTTTGGTTTAGGGGCTAAAGCACCAGGCTAGAAAGCAGGAAACTGTAAGTTGTAGTCCCACCTTCAGCATGAAAGCCTGATGATGATGGTGGTGGTGGTGGTGGTGATGGTGGAGGAGGAGGAGGAGGAGGAGGAGAAGGAGGAGGAGGAGGAGGAGGAGGAGGAGGAGGAGGAGGAGGAGGAGGAGGAGGAGGGGATCTTGGTGGTCATCTTGTTTCCTACTCAGGCAGGTAACCCTATACCACAGTGTTTCCCAAACTTGACAATTTTAAGGCATGTGGACTTCAACTCCAGCGTTGCTGGCTGTGGAATTCTGGGAGTTGAAGTCCTCATGCCTTAAAATTGTCAAGTTTGGGAAACACTGCTATACCATTTCAGACAAATAGCAGTCCAGTCTCTTCTTAAAAACTTCCAGTAGTGGCACATTCATAGCTTCTGGAGGCAGTTCCACTGGTTAATTGTTTTAACTATCAGGAAGTTTCTCCTTAGTTCTAGGTTGCTTCTCTCCATGCTTAATTTCCATCCGTTGCTTCTTGTCCTGTCTTCAGGCGCTTTGGAGAACAGCTTGACTCCCTCTTCTTTGTGGCAGCCCCTGAGATATTGGAACACTGCTATCATGTCCTCCCTCATCCTTCTCTTTGTTAAACTAGACATACCCAATTCCAGCAACCATTCCTTATATGTTTTAGCCTCCAGTCCCCTAATCATCTTTGTTGCTCTTCTCTGTACTCTTTCTACAGTCCCAACCATTTTTTTACATCGTGGTGACCAAAACTGGATACAGTATTCCAAGTGTGGAATGTTCCAATGTTGCTCATTGGGGGGGCACCTATGGGGGCCGGGCAGGGTTGGGGGCAATCCAGAGGGTCTCTGGCAGGTGGGGTAGTGGGCAGGAGGCCCAGCATAGATGGGAGGAAGCACGCAATCCTAGCTGGGACTGGGGGGCCATGGTGCCGATGGGGATCCAGCTTTCCCTGCTCGGGGTGGCCTTTGGCTTGCTGGGTGTGGACGTGCTCTACCACCTCTACTCGAGCTTGCTAGCTGGCTGCTTCGCCTCCTTTGTGCCTGGTGGGGCTGCCGCTCCGGGCAGCAGCAGACTAATGGACCTGCGTAACCTGCTGACATGCGTGCCCACAGAGAGGGCTCTGAGTGCCGCCTCTGGCACGCGTGCCATAGGTTCGCCACCACTGAACTACAATCTTCTTTCCAAAACAGTTGCCATGTCATAATCATTTCCTTAGTAAAGAACCTTGCATTTGTCTCCAACAGATCTTTCTTTCTTTCTTTCTTTCTTTCTTTCTTTCTTTCTTTCTTTCTTTCTTTCTTTCTTTCTTTCTTTCTTTCTTTCTTTCTTTCTTTCTTCTCTCTCTCTCTCTCTCTCTTGCTTTCTCTCTTTCTCTCTCTCTCTCTCTCTCTCTCTCTCTCTCTCTCTTCCTCTCTCTCTCTTTTCCTTCCTTTTCTTTCCTTTTTCTCCCCATCTGAGTAAACAACTCTGGGCGGCTCACAATTCAAAAACATATATTACAATTAAAATCTTCAAAACATTTTAAAACAGTAAAAACCATTAAAACAATTCAAAACATTGAAATATCTTTATGCTATTCTGCTTTTCTCCTACCCTCTCAGGTTGGTTTTGAATGTGGAATCTGCTTTAGAATTTTACCCATCCAGTTGTGTATCATCTGCAAACTTACAGAATTCATCATTTCCCCCCCCCCCAAGTCATTTTTTTAAAAAAGGTAGAGGACCGAGGGCTGAATCTAGTACCGTGGTGGCGAACCTATGGCACACATGCCACAGGTGGCACACAGAGCCCTCTCTTGGGCACGCGCAGCGTCGCCCCAGTCCTAGGCCTTCAGCTGGGTTTTATAAAACCTTTTCGCTTTAGGCCTCTGCCACCGTGTGCCCCCCCCCAAAAGGTTCAATCAATCAATCAATTTTAACTTCTCACAGGAAAAAAAAGATCTCACAAAGTTGGAATTGATTGATTGAACTTTTTAGTCCCATCCAGTCTGCCGTTACCACCCGCAGCCACGCCCACCCAATGGGCCATACCGACCTAAATGGCCACACCCACCTTATGGGCCACACTCACATGGCACCTGACAATACATAAGTGGGTTTTGGGTTGCAGTTTGGACACTCGGTCTCTAAAAGGTTCACCGTCACTGATCTAGTAACATCCCACCTAATCTCTCTTTCCAATTTGATGAGAAAAAATTGCCATTCGCGTAGCTAAACTGGAATTGAAAAAAGTGCAGGAAACTGACTTGATCCCGGCCAGAAATGGAGATGAAACATTCAGAGATCAAGAAGAGAAAAAAAAAGAAAGAAGGAAAGAAAGAAAAGAAAAGAAAAGAAAGAAAGACAAATCAATAACTATTATTATAATTTCAAGGAGCTGTTCAAAAGCCAATGATCTCCTTTCCCTCCCCTAGTAAAAACTATCCTCTTCTTTCCACACTGAGTAAACTTGCTGTTCTCTCTCGCATTTAGGGCAATCTTTTTTAAAAGTGGCCCTTCATTCCACATCCAAAGCACGTTCTCTCCTTATTCTGGTATCCACCCCAAAATCCTCCAAATCCCCTTCCTCTACTCCCATTAACATACTGGTTCCTTTCATCCCTCCTATATCTTGTCTCAAAGAGACTCTGCTTATCCCCAAACTCTCTTCTAGGAGGTTTTTCCTGCTTCATCACTTGCTGTACTGTTGCTACCATCATCTTACTTTTCTGCCTTACTGTCTCTGTATCTCTCTGAACATACACTTTCCTCCTTCTCTGGCTGTTGTTGGGGGCCAGGTTCCAATTCCTCCCACCAAACAAAGCAACACAAATTCACCATATCTTCTTTAGTCAAATTTTATCTATCAATTATCTTATTATAAGGCGATTTACCCCAATTACTTAGTAGGAGTCCTAAAGGACTCCCTGTATCTATCCTTAACCTAGGATTCTTCCTAATTTTCTTCACACATTTCCTTTTGGGAACACTATGTGTTGAGTCCGTGGCGGGAAAACAGACACGAGAAGCAGCTGGAGTTCTCAGTTTCATTTATTCAGCGTTCAGCTTACAGGAAGATGGCTTCAGCCTCACCCAAACGCCTCGCAGCCTCTTATATAGGCAACTCCCAGGTAAATGGGTTACTTTTCCCGCGCCAGCACCCGCGCATGCGTACGGCGCTGGCGACAGCCTGTCTGGTCCCGGGCAGCTTTGCACCTGCCCGGGACTGCCTGCAAACGCCCGAGCCGTTTGCAAGGCTCGGGACATAACACCCCTTTCCCCCGGGCTAAATCTACTACCAACATACAACATTTATTTTATATGACATTTTGCTCCCCAGTGCTCCCACTGATTACTGGCTTTTGCCTTGCCAGCAGTGTTATGTAATCTTCTAGATACTTAGGAGATTTCTTTGCTCTCTGTGACCTTCTTAGCTCTGGGTTACTGGCATAAGTCCCCTGACTGGAGGGAGGCGTGAGCCTTTTCTCTCTATTGTGCCCTGGTGTCTTCCAAGGACTGTGCCCCGATGCCTGGCCTGCTTGCTTGCCCACCGGGCTCGGCAGGCCAGGGCTTCTGTTACTTTGTGACCTGGTTGACCTACCTAGCTGTAGACCCTCAGGCCCCTTGAAGTGATAGCCGCTGCTGGGCGTCTCTGTAGAACCTCCTAGGTCAGTCCAAGACCTGTCAGGAGGCTGTCCATTCCCTGAACCCCATTCTGTGTTCGGGCTCGTGTGGTTTTCTGTACTTTCCCAAAGCTCAGGTGTTCCCTAATTTGTGCTAGGGTTGTTGTAGTCGGGACTTGGTTCCTCGACTAACTCTGTGTATGTTTGACCCCCTGTAGGATTTGGGGTAAGGTCAGGCCAACCTTGGGAATTGTGTGCCAGCTCTCTTGCGGGGAATGATTTGTTGGGATGCCCCCGGGTATCCTCTGTTGCTGGAGTGCTGTGTGATGTGTATGGAAAGTGAGTATGCCCCCGGGGTGACTCCCTGGCTGGAGTAGGCGTGAGTGCCTGTTGTGTGGATAAGCTCCATGACTTTCTTTTCGGAGCAATTGCAGAACCTTGGGACGAGCCGTGTGTGGCTC